CTGCTCCTGCAGCCGTGCCATGAGTGGAGTTGCTCAGCCCTTGTACCCACACAGCCCCGTGGAGAGCGGGGGCAAATGGACAGTCTCAGGCACTGGAGGGCACACAAATCTGTTTCTGAAGGAACACAGCAATGCAAAAGGCCTTTTGCCAATCTCCTGCACTAAGGAAAAAMTTAGTAAACAGGTGAAATGGAGTGTGGGAAGTCAGGGTTGCAGAGCTTCATTGCAGTTGTTGGAAAGGGATTCTCCTCATTAAACTGAGAAGCCTTTAATTAGCTGGAGCTGACTGTCAATGAATAACACAGCTTTAAACATAGTTTTTGAGTTCAGACATTCAAATCCACATCTGCAGGGTTTAGCAAAGTGAATCTGTCCCTATAAAACTTCTGCTATCTGTTTCCCCATATTGTTCCTTTCTGTAGAACCCTTAGGGCACCAACAGCCTTCCCTTCCCTCCTCCCAGGTACTCCCCCACCTTGCCCACAGCCCAGGATCACATTTCAGCCCCAGGGCCATCAGTCCCTGTCCCAGTGATGCTCCACCAAGGATGATCTCCAGACAGGCTGTTTGAATTTGCTCTGGCAATGACACTGGGCACAGAAACGATGCTTTCTGTTTTCCACTCATTGCTCTGTCACTTGTTTCAGAAAAGCATAACCTCCTGGTAAAATTTGCACTCATAGTATGCATTTTAGTGTTTATTTACTTTAAAATGAGGCTACTTAGCAAGTATGGGGTTCTGCACTGGAGTTTTGTTGTGTTTTTTCTTCCAAAGAGGATATTCACCTGCTCCAGAAATGCAAATCTTCATGTCAATCAATGTGACTAACACATGTCTGTCAAAGTCAATGATTTCATCCACTACTATGTGGTTCACAGTTGCTAAGTGTGCAAATTCAGGGTATAATACTTAGGTGAAGCAAAGTTTCTTGCAGAAATTCTACATTTGGTTGAGCTTYAGCCTTTTCTTTCTTCATGTAATTCCAGGACTTGAGCCTCCGAAGGACAAAACAATTATACAGGAGGAGCTGCGCAAAATCTCCCTGCCTCTCTACAGCATCCTCTCTGCCCTCACAATCCTAGGAATGATAATGGCCAGTGCTTTCTTGTTCTTTAACATCAAAAACAGAAATCAGAAGTAAGACATTCATGTTACTTCTATCACAAATTCTTATTTAATGCTGTGTTTGTAAAACCAGTCATGTRTATGTATCTATCTACATATATATGTAAGGAAAATGTAAAACTGTGGAAAGATGGTATTTTAGAACTATTTAATTGAAATCACTAGGTAATATATTCACATTGAAACAGACTGTATTTAAGTTCTTTTATACTGCCTGAAAAGTGTAATTTTCTAATTTATGTTTGATTGCCTGTTAATAACATTAACCCTAGCTAATTAATCCATCAGTAAAAGAGAAGATCTTTTTACTAAGCATTCAAAAACCTGAAACAATKCTAGACTTTATAAAACAGCAAATACTGTGCATGCCTATAGATTTCATGGAGTTCTAGAAGGGTTATCTGTTTGCCTGGTTACAAAAAGCTCTTCTTTATTGCTCTAGTAGCCTAACAGTAATTTTTTCCTCTTTAATGCACTATCACCTTTTGTCCATAGACTAATAAAGATGTCCAGTCCCTACATGAACAACCTTATTATCCTTGGAGGGATGCTTTCTTATGCATCTATTTTTCTTTTTGGTCTTGATGGATCCTTTGTCTCCGAAAAGACATTTGAGACACTTTGCACAGTAAGTAATTCCGTGTATTCTAGTTGAATTCTAGTTTAATTCAGTCTTACAGGAGACTCTGTGAGAAATGCAAACAGAAAAGTTCAGTAGCTGGATGTGTCATTCCAATAAATCACTGATTCTCATAGTTCTTTCCTGGGATATTTTTTGGGACCAAGGTCTAAAACATGCACAAAGCTTCATCATTATTATTATTATTATTATTATTATCATTATTATTATTATTGTTATTGTTATTATTATTGTTGTTGTTGTTGTTGTTGTTGTTGATGATGTTGATGTTGATGTTATCATTATTGTTGTTGTCGTAGTTGTTATTGTTGTTGTTGTTGTTGTTGTTGTTGTTGATGTTGATGTTGATGTTATAATTATTGTTGTTGTTGTGGTTGTTATTATTATTGTTGTTGCTATTGGTATTATTCAAAGCTTGAGGTGCATTGGGATTTGACCTCAGACTGAAAGGGTAGATGTATATTCTTGTTTTGAATTCATATCTATGAAGATGATTTACTAAAGGTTGTGTTCACAGCTTGACTTCTAATGCCTGTAAAGCTACTATGTTTTCTTTATACATTCCATATGATTTATACTACATGACCACTGTTTGTCTAGATCTCTTTAGTCAGTCTCTTTGGCTGATTCTCCAAAGAATTCTGCTGTTTCCGGGCTACACTCTAAATTCTTACAAGCCTAGATCCATATAGAATACCTTCTAGTTTAATCAAAACAAGCAACTCTGAAACCAAATTAAATATGTTCACCCAGAAACTTGTAATGTCTTAATTGCTTGGTGCAAAATGCACCTACTCTGACTTACAGAGGCCTTTTCAAAGAAAGGGAAAGGGCAAGAAATTCACTGCCAGGATATTCCTTGCAGAAGCAGTATGGAACAGCATTTAAATGCATCCAATGTCTTCTCAGAAAATTCTAAGACTCTGCTGTACCCGTTGCCTGAAAATATCAGACTTAGGAGTGATCTTCACTATCGTTTTGATTCTTCATGTCTCTAGAAAGTTGCAGTTCACCACACCTCTTATTTTTAGGAGTCTGAATTTCTGATGTCATGACTGGCAAGAGTGAAATTTTACTTCAAGAAGATAATTCAAAGAATGAAAGTTGTGTACCTAGAGTTAGTTGGTGCAGATACATCCCAATATGTCAGCTGGAGCCCTCCATAGTGGCYAGAACCATTACAGAACTGAAACACCTTGTGACTGGTTGAGTTAGATAATTTCAAAACTATGGAGATTCTGGAGCACATGCCAAGATAGGCTGGAAGATACACTGTGGGTGAATTACAGGATTGTCTGTGGAAAGTCTCGCCTTCCCTAGCTGGGCATGGATACAGCTGTGTGTTAGACACTTAAACTTGAGCAGCAAAGGAAAGAGAAGGAAAGAATATCCAATCTTCCTACAACTGGAGCTCTAATCCAAAATATAGCTAGTAGAAAGAAGTGCCTTCAAGATTTAAAAAGGGTGGTCCTGTTCACCTCTCTCAGACTAGTCCATAACTCTATGAATACACTGGGGCCAATAGGAAATGGAAAATTACATCATCCATTTTTTATCCAAGAATTATGCCCTTTTTTTTGTGAAACAGTTTCTGATGGAGCAGAAGTGTCATTAGGAAGCTAGTTGTTCACGTCAATCCCCGTTCCTTTCTCACCCTGTCTTGCAGAAGGATCCAGTGGCAGGGGACACAGATTTTTAAGTCCTGATGTCTGCTCAGCCTTGAGGGGCTTGTACCCAGAGCTCCTGAGTTCACTGCCAGGCTACAGTCATTGCATGACTGGGCCACCACCCTCCTCTGGAAGCAGCCATGCACTGCTGAGCAGAAGGAAAGTGGGAACCAGAGRTACTTATCAGCATCTGGCTGCTCTAGGAAACACATTTCCAGCCAAATGTATCTATATAAGACTAAATTTGAGTCCTTCTTTACATGTGAAACAGCTCAGTCTTAACTCTGAGAAATGAACCAACATCCAAAATCCTGTGCCTCTGAGCTAGAACAGTTCTTCTATCTGATTTTTCTCTAATGTGCCTCTCAAAATGTAATAACTACTCTCATATTCTAAATGCAGCTAAATTTAACTGTGGGCTGCTTATTTTGTCTAATCTTACGTACCTCTTCCTTTTATTCCAGTTTGTATCTGTCACATTATGTTAGGTCTGTTTGTCTGCCATAGAGGCATAGATCTGCACTTACTTGACTTAGATGACCAAAAAAAATAAAGGGGTGGGGAAGAATCCTGTGTCCCAAAGCCAAACTTTGATTAAGAAATATCAGCACATACCTCAARCAGAGATTTTTAATTTTTGTACATAGCCAAATGCTGTATAAACAGAGCAGAGTCTGAGATTTCTTCCCAATCTTGGCTTTCCAGGTTTTCAGTCCAGTACAGAAGTATTTCTGATTGTGTTTTCCTGGGCATGGCTACTGATATATCCAATGAATCCCAGCCCTGTCAGCAATTAGTACTGCAGTCACAGATGCAGCAAATCCTTCAGTAACCACCAACAGGGAAGGTTTCTCTGACTTCCTGCTTATTCAAATAATTCTTAAAATATTTCTTCCTCCAATTATATATTTTTTTAATAGGATAGCTTGTGCTTCTCTAAGGTGTCATCTCTACAGGGGTAACACTGACTATGGCGGTGCGCTTCTATTGTATCTAGAAAACCTTGAATTAGTGCTGGGAAATTCATAAATATGGGAGGCAAATTCACTTGTCTGTTGMAAAATTCTTCTCTCTCTCTGCTCCTCTCCTCAAAACATCCCCCAAGTGCTGGGTGCAGAGAATACATTTTGGCTCCATGTCATGAACATCCMGATTCCCATGTGGGCAATATGCTTAGTGGATTTCATAAGGACTGCTTACAGATACCAGTGCTTATAGGATCAGGCAGGACAAATCTCTTTTCATCATCCATCTCCCTGGAAATGCATGATTTTGATTACTCATTCTAGCCATGAGAGATTAGTTTAAAATTCCCRTTTTATATCAGACTGTGGCTTAGTCTCTAAAAAAAAGACAACTACAATGGAAAATGATCATAAAAAGCCATTGAGGCAAACCGTCAGGGTGTAACAACTGTATCAGACAGAGAGAAGAGCCACATGTCAATGAAGGGAGGTATTCTTTTGGAATGGAAATAAAAATTTTGATTCACGTTTTATTAGCCCATGCAAAGCTATAAAGCTGTCATTAGTGTTATCCCCTGTCTAAGCCAAGTAATCACCCTCATTGTCTTCTGTATTTCAAAAGTGATTAGATCTCAACAGGGTAGCAGGATATACACAATAGACGGTACACTTAATTAGGGATGTTATATATGGTCTCTGTTTCAGTTTCTGACAATTTTTGGCTACACTTGTAGGAGGTCCTTAAAACTTCTGTGCTTACTGAGGTYTCCCTGCCCACAGRAAGGGGATTGGAACTAGGTGATCTTTAAGGTATCTTACAATCCGGGCCATTCTATGATTCTATWCTCAGAAATTCAGGAAAAATGCTTTCCAAACTGTAGGTGTTACATTCAACTGTGTTGGGTTTGTTTCCTCTATAGCATGTTATTTGTAGTGTTTTTTGGAGGGTGAAATGCTTTGCAACCTCAGCTATTTTTTTAAAATTTTTCTACAATGTATATCTATATATGACATTTGCTTAATGCTGTAATATTACAAGGACGCTGAAACATGATCCAAAATTGCACCAATACCACCTGAAAGTTTCAAAAGATTTATTTGATAGGTTGTATTACCATTTTTCCACTCTGTAAGGCACTGGTTGTAGGAAGATATATAAGGATGGTATATAAGTCATTATGCTGAATCATAGAAACAAGTKTTAAATGTATTTAAAAGTCAGCAAAGCACTTTAAACATATAATCAAATAATTTGCTGAATAAGGATATTATTTTAGTTTTGGAAATTATATAATGTTGACTCTAATGTTGATAGAGTGATAGAGTGGGTAATTGGTTTCCAAAACCACTTGTTTTTACCTTGGTATGCCCATTTTCCATGGAAAAGTAATCAAATATATTTAAATACACAATAATTGTGTTTTTTCACAGGAAGAACTCATAATAGCAAATGTAGCATAATTTAGTTCCATGTCAGATTCAGAGATTAGGTATCATATTTTAAAACTCCAATTATATGGAATTAAAATGATCCAGAGCAGTGAGTTCTGAGAAAGTGGTCAGTGTATTATTGAACCACTAGATCATGTCTAGCTTAATAGCAACTTTATTGGTTGCACAGAACAAGAAAAAGCAATGCAGTATTTCATTACATGCAGATGTATGCCAAAGTACAAAGTGTTTCAGATATGAGAGAGAGAAGGAGAATGATTTATCTTTGTTTTTAATCTCAGAATTATCATGGTATCATAGCAAAAAAAAAAAAAAAAAAGTTAGAAGTAAGGGTGTGAAATGAGATGTGATGCCAGCTGGAAAATGCAAGCAAGTGGAAACATATTTGAAAGCATTCATTATATGGAAGAGAGAGACTCAAAATTAGGAATGCTAGTGACATATCCTATGAATAGAGTTTAAGGTGACATGCTAAATTGAGATACTTAAAATAGAGAGAATATTAGATAAGATCATAACGTTTAGACTTCTGTAATGCGTTCCACTGAGAATTTCATGATTTGCATTTAAGATGAGTAATGCCTTTGCCAATTGGAATTTCTATGGGATGAAAGACTGCTGTGGTCCTGAGGATGACCATAAGCTTTTCTGTTATGCATCTTCCTCAAATGAGTAAATCAATTCATTGAGTTGGGGCTGAGGATGTTTTAAGTACTCCTCATGGCACTCAGACATCCATACCACCACAAAGAAGGGCTTGGTTCTTTAGGCAGTAGTAGAGTGAACATCTCTTCTCCTCAGACCTGGTAGTTCTGATGTGTAGCAGGACTTTCTCCAAGAGAGTGTGCTGCACTGGGTCACTGCAGTGATTGGGAAGGGGCAAATGATCTGCCTTAAATAACTG